CCACGCGTCCACAGCAGCCCTGGCGAGGCCTCGGGGGCCCAACTCGGCAGGCTCATCTCCCCCTGGTCCTCCGGGGGGCTGGCTTCCTGCTGGCCCCTTTAGGCTCTAAGCAGCTGCTGGTCTGCTGCTGAGAAGCATGTGGCCCTGTGCGCCCTGCAGCACCAACCCACACACGTGGGCCCTCTCACCCCACTCATCGCCCTGACGCCCGCTCCCCACTCCAGGTGAAGAGGAGGCTCACCCGCCCATACAGACCCCAGGGAACCACAAAGCAGTGAACCTCGGGTGTATTCCTTAGGCCCTTCTGCCCCAAGAACATGCTAATCGAGGGCAATGCTCTCAGGCAGCACATGCTAGAATGAGGTCTGGCAATGATGCCAAAACAGACTCTGCGCTTTCAGATCCAGGTGAAGCACGCTGCTACAGGGCTCCATGGCGGCAGATCTGCCAGGGTAATGAGCCCAACCTGAGCTGGGTTTGTGGCCAATGAAACAAAAAGTCATGTAACTACTGTGGCTATTCACCAGGTGCCAAAATTTAATGTTTGGGTGGGATTATTATACTCTTGTCTGCAACACTGCCTCCTGGTTCTATAAAGCCATTTTTTCTCACTGTATCACAGACTTTGAACACCAACCCACATGCTCCTAAAATGAATGAATTCACTCAACTAACCAGAGAATTCTGTGGGGACAAAGAAAGCCCCAGAATTCCATTGCATCTCATCTCATTTAAACTGGCCTCCTGCGTAGCCTCAGTCAGGCCCCTCATTCCCCCCATCACTGCCTGTCTGACAGCCTTACTGCCCCCCACACCTGCCCACAGCTCCCCCGTACCAGTGGGACAGGACACATGCTCACAGCCATTCCAGGACACAGCTCCAGAAACACTGTGCAAAGGCAGAGAGTGGCAGGAGCTGCCCCTAGTCTGCCCAGAGGAGGCTGAAGAGCCGGGGCGGGCCTCCAGAGGGTACTCACGGTTAGAGCAGTGATGACCTGGGGGCACACCTGCCAGAACAGACGTGCATTCTCTCCCTCCAGCGGGCAGCTCAGCAGCAGCTTGGTCAGAGTGACGGCCGACAGGATGGCCTAGGGGAGAGGGAGGGCACTCACCAGAAAGGGCCACCTCTCGTGCAAGAGCCCCATCGTGGGGAGAAGCCCAGGCACTAGGGCTGAGACAGCCAAGCAGAGCCCATGGGAACAGGGAGGCCGGGGGTTCACACAAGACCCGCTTGGGGTGAAATCTCAAGGAGCAGTCAGGCAGTCGATGGTAAGATGAGCAGAACTGTGGCAAAATAAGGGCCTCTTCAGGGGCGTCTCACTGAACCAGGTGTGTAAGTGTGCCAGGAAGTGAGATAAAGGCCGCGACAGGCACAGCCGCCCAGTCAGAGACCCCATCCCGCCAGGAGGGGGCCTGGCCGTGGCCGCCTGAGCATGAGTGACAGATGCTCCTGGTGGAAGGGTGGGCCAGCAAATCGGGTCAGCACTGAGACACAGTGGCGGCCTTAGGCCTCGGGGAGGGGACACCCCTGCCCATAGATGCCTGAGCTGCAGGGCATCTCACACCAACTTCAATCTCACGCCAGCCTCATCCTCCTCCCAGCACTGTGGACCCACAGAGTTCCGGCTTCTGCCTTCGGCTCTGGTTTCCCCTCTCTGGCCGGCCGCATCCCTAATGCCACCTGCCAGCCAACCACCCTCCCCTGAGCCAGCCCCACCCTCCCACTCACCTGCAGGACACGTCCCTTAGAAGGGCCTGCAAGCGGGCCCCTCCTGTGCACCCACCACCTGCCTCCCGGTCTCCCCAGCTATGCCTCCCCACTCTGGGCCACCCACCGAGCCCTGCCCATCACTGAAGGCCCAACTTGAACTTCACCTAGTCCATTAATCCTGGCTGGTTTCAACAGAATTTATGGTTTGTTTTATCTGGGCTCATGGAAGGGAAGCCCAGAGCCTTCTCAAAGCTGGGGCCCAATCGTGATGCAGACAGGCACCGTGAAAACTGCCAGAGACATGGGTGCGTGCCCGGGGACAGGGAGGGGTGGTGCAGAGAAGGGCCCTGGCCTGGCCTCGCCCCGTGCCCTCGTGCAGGAGGTGCAGGTTCCCCCAGCCCCACCCCGACCCCCATCGCCCTCTCCAGTTCTCCTCCCACTCGAATCAAAGCCCATCATAATCAGCCGTCAAGGAGCCACTCATCAGGCAAAGAAAGCCCAGAACTGGAAGAACTGGGCTGTAATCCTGACCCTGAGATACTTAGCTCTGCGGCCTTTTCTTCCTGTGTGAGCAAAGACACAATCAGTCAGGTCCAGTGCACAGGGCATCAGAGGATGGAGTCCCAGCAAGAAAGCCCCACGCAGACGCTCTCCAAAACGTGTACCGTTACATGCAAACACAGGGCTTTACTAGCAGCAACTAAAGACCTGATGTGGGAAGGACCAAAGGCGGCCCCTGACCTGAGAAAGCCTCACATGGGATCCAGGCTAGGTCACCGAATACAGTATAGCTTTTCAAGAAGTATGACGAGAAAGGTCTCAAACAAAAAATGAGTAGAATTTAACTTCTTTACATGTCAACATTCCGAGTATATCTCATACTAAGTACATACGGCTGTAATCTGAAAAGGCTCCACTTTGGAAGATTAGGCCTCCCTGCACTGAAGCGGAGGCCTCTGCAGGGGCCACAGCTCCTTCTGTCAACTCCCCCATTACCTATCATCTCTACTGATTGATTCTGTGTGTTTGGTTTTACAAGTCGCACCATATGTCAGCTCAGTTTTCCCAGCTGAGCCAGGACCACGTCTGGGCCCGCCCCAGAGGGGCAGAAAGGAGCCACCCACCGGCAGATCTGCCTTCCACGCGTTGCTGACATCCAGCCCTTGAAGGATGCTTCGCATCACCACCCTGAAGTCCTCTGTCGTCCCGACCTCTAACATGTGGGTGACAAGGACTCTCAGATGAGGCTTGATGTCCTGAATTACCTGACTCGGAATAGCAGGATCTGATTAGAAAACAAACAAAAACTGTTCAGACGTGACAGGCGGGGCTGGTGAAATAAACCAGAGTAGCCACGTGCTGGCACAGTCACCATGGAGGGCGCACGGGGTGCTCGTGGCCCAGGTCAAACAGCACTCTTGAAGATGACGTGCCCCCTGGTGCAGCTCACCGCGCACCTGCACAGTGCAGGGAAGGCCGAGGGTGATGGCGAAGACCTCTAGAAGGTATTGTCTCTGGACCCCCAGGGAAAGGTGACTGCTACTCCCTTTATGCTCTTTCCTACTTCCTGTGTATTCTTTTATAAAATCAGTAGGGTCTCCACAGGGGGGTGGTCCTTTTAGACAGATGGGAAGGTTAAAGAGATTTAAATATCTCTCCAGACCGGCTGCGGTCATCCAGCTGTCCCGGTGATGTAGAGGTCCCAGGGTCCTCCGGGGCAGGGCCTCACAGCACAGTTCAAAGCCAGGGCCCTCAAGGACCCTGGGAGTGTGATTCGCTCCCTCTCCAGCTGCGGGCTAGCCTGGCAGACCTGCCAGAACACCTTCCCACGGCCCCGTCTTTGTTTACCACCTTCAGCATGGCGGGGGACAAAAGGCTTTGAGAGAAAGATCTAGGTCCAGGTCTCCCACAAGTCATTAGGACCTTGGAGTCATGTCTGAGGCTCAAGTCCCTCATCGGTGAAACAGGCCCAACGGTGTAGCTCCTGTGGCAGCAGCAGAGCGGTGCCTACCACATAGAACACAGCACGAGCCCCCCGCCCTGCCAAGTCTCTGCTTACCCGGGCTGGGCCTGCGGGTGCCTCCCAGGGCACGATCCCACAGTCCCAGGCACTCGGGAGCATTTCCTGGGATTTACGTAATCTGTGTCAAGATCAACACTTCATTAACCTCCAGAGCAGGATATGGCTCCACATATATGTGAAGCATTTTTTGAATGTTTTTCTTGTCATTGAATTGAGACAGTCTCCTGTCAGGAAGCAATCCTTACAAATGCTCGTTTTTACGAGCTGAAACCTACCGAATCACCCAAGAACACAGGCGGGTTTTCGCGGCCACAGTGACACCCCCCAACCCTGTCCCACCCAGGCCTCGGGCCACCCCTCCCTCAGCACCACTTCCAGACTTCTGGCCACTGTGATACCTTCTCAAGGCAGAGTCTAGCAGCCCATGTACACCAGGCCAGGACCCGCTGGCAACACCTGGGCACACGGTCTGAGGGGTCAGCGGCAGCTGGCCTCATGTCCCCTCCAACCAAGGCCCCATCCCTGCGGTCAGAGGCACCATGAGTGCAGGGACACACGGTAGTGAATCAGAGGCCCCCACAACTCACAAGCGTTGGAGGGGAAAAAGGACACATTGTTTTCTTTGACAGAGGGGCAGAGCGGCCAGACCACCAGCTGCCCATTTATCAGGACACTCACACAGAACATGGAACCAGAGTTACTAAAAGACTAGGTTTCAGCCCCCGTTAGGGTGAACACTGTGCCCTGTCCCTGAGAATGAGGCACCACGGCCTTCTGGTCATTCCGCCATCGAGGCAGAGGTGGAGAGGCTGCCAGAAGAGCAGGGTTACTCGGACCATAGCCCTTTGGTCCCAGCTGGGCCCGGGCAGACCAGGTGGCCTTCCTTCCTACAGGCCCCATGTACCACTTGCTCTGGACACATGTGTGGCCCCACCTCGCCCCGCCCAGCTTCCCCACTGGCCACCAGGGAAGTTGGCGAGTGCCCTGAGGGTTAGGCTTGGCTGAAGGACCTCCCCCAACCTCATCTCGAAGGGCGGTCCTAACTAACCTCCACTCCCAGCAACCAGAGAAGACAAACTCAAGCTGTGAAACCATTAGGGATGAAATCTGGCCCATTAACCTCTAACAAGGGGCGAGCAGACAGCCCAGGCCGAGCTGGGCCCAGTGAGCAGCTGTGCCCTGCTTGATGGCCAGATGCCGCCCTGAGACTAGGGTTGAAATTCTGCCTTCAAGGAATCCTATGGGGCTCCCTATAAAGTAGGTCATTTGCATTTTTTTTCAAGTTGGCAGGTTTCATATTTTTCTTTGGTCAATTGACAGCACTGAAGATCCGACACAGAAGAGCCTGCTAATTAAGGATGAAATTATCCATGTTGCCCACCTGGGCCCAGGACAGATCGAGGTTAAAAAAAAAAGGGGGGGGGGTTAAAAAATTTTGCAGAGAATGCACATACTATAAAGGAACTCCTGGCAGGGAGGGTTCCTCACCGCTCACATGCCACACCTTATGAAACAAACACCTGCCCCAAAGTGGCAGGGGTGGGGCGCTCAGCTCACCTTGCTGGCTGCTTGACTAGCTTTTACCAAAAGCTCCACAGTACAGGACAAGAGAGAACAGCTTACCTGCAAGAACTTTTCTCATAGAATGAAACATGGAGGCAAACACAGACTCCTTCTTGGGGTGCAGGTCTGGGGCCAAAAGAAATTGAGTTAAAAACTGCATGGCTGCCTGGAAAGATGGAGTGCTTTCTGCCAGAGCTGGCAGCTCCGACAGGATCCGAGAGTAAACTCCCTGGTAGAGGGCGGTACGGGGGAGCTGCACCCCGTCTGTCACTTGGGAAATCTCCGTTCCTCTGTGCCCGCAGCCCTGGCCCACGTCTGCTTCCAAGAGCGTGCTGACAGACAAGACGAAGGCGGCAGGAAGGCACCCACTGGGGGCCCCGCGGGCCAAGCAGAGCTGAAGCACGCCTCCCGTCTGGAGGACAGCCTGCCGCAGCAGCTCAGGCAGCGCGTCCGGGGCCTCGTGCTGCTGCTTCCGCTTCCTGACAACAGGCCCCAGGACTTGGCACAACTTGGTTAAAGACACCAGAAGGAGTTGCTGGCCCAGAGGATTCTCATTTTCCAGCTGTGTGCCTGATGTGGCTTCAGTGTCTATCCTTGAGAGGAAGGTGATGATTTTCCCAAAATTGAGCACCAGGCTGAGCTTCACCTGAATGAGCATCTGCATTAGCTGTTCTAAAAAGGTCCCTACCACTTGCAGGAATTCCAGCCAACAAGGGTCATCCAGGTCAGTAAGAAATCTACTACTGGCTTTGAGCAATGAGGTCAGTACGATCTCGAAAATATCACTAGCATACATGACTTTGAGCACTGCTCGGGCACTTCTTCCTCTTTGCAGATAGCCAAGAAGCCAGTAGCAAGTCGTCAAAAACTTGAGCATCAGTGAAGAGGAGCATGAGCTCCCTAGCTTGGAGATGGCCATGGCCAGTAAGAGAAGAAAATAATGCACATGATGGGGAGTCAAGAGGCTGTCCAGGCGTAGAGCAGAAACAATGTCCAAAAGCCCCAGGATGTTTTCTAACTGTTCTCCCTCCAGCTGGATGGGGAAGTCGCTCTTGACCAAGGACAGTAAGTTTCGGGCAATTTCTCCTCTTAGTTCTTCACCTGCGGGTCCCACTTCTGCAAATCTCTTTTCCCACTGAGTCACAGCCATGCAGCCCTTTTCAAAAAGCCAGGGTAGCTGCTGACGGAGAAGACCCGGGTCACTCTGGATGCCAGAACACAGAACATCAGCACATCGTGCCGCTATGCACGTTAAGAAAGCAGAATGAAGGGCCTGCATTTCTGGAAAGAAAGGGCTGTGAAGGACCGCCTGGGAGGCTTTCTCAAGTGTGATGTTTGGCTCTTCGCCTGCTGAGAATTCCTGGGCTCTACTCATTGGTAAAGTTCTCAGCAGGACACTGGCCAGGTATCGTACATCATCTGCACAAAGATAGGGTAGTAAAATTGTGAGGTTTGACACGATCAGGTGCCAGTGTGCTACAGGGTACGTGAGTGCATTCACTGTCCCCACCTGGCCATCCCAGGAGGCTGTTGCCCTCTGGTCCAGGCGTTTTCTGCCAGAAGCAAGTATGTATGCAGCATCACATCTCAAAGTGTGGAGGGCTTCTTCAGACTGGAAACCAGTTTGCATTAAAGTCCTCTTCATTTTCTGCAGATAGAGCTGTTCTAAGCAATACCTGCCAAGAGAGTCAAACCGAGCTGTTAACTTCTCTATCTTCTTCCAGTGTTGTGCCTTTACACCTGGGAGTGGTAAAGGGAGGCTTGAGGTCTCTAGAGCACCACCTGCAAGGGTCCCAGACACAGGCTGGTACTGGCTACAGTTTAAACTGAGCATGGCGTCCACCTGGGCCCAGGTGTGAGAGAGCAGGAGCACAGAGTCACCGACCTTCTGCAGCCACAGCTCCAGCTCTGGGCCCCGGGGGGGGTCTAGGAGGAGCGCCAGCAGGGGCCTCACCAGCTCTCGGAGCATCCCCTCCATGGTGCACTGAGTCCGTCTGATGACGGGCAGGGGCGTGCTGCTGTCCAGGCTCCTCATGTTGAACAGGATGCAGTGCAGCAGTGAGCTCAGGGACAGAGACTTCAGCGCCATGTCGGTGTCACCCCGCAAATGAGGCAAGACCAGAGTCTGGAATTTGTCCAGCACAAGGGTCCACGTGTCTAAGACCTGACTCGGAGACAACTCCAGGAGGCACTGGCGGAGTGCCGCGGAGGGGCCTGAGGCCAGCACAGGCTGCCTTAGCGACTCGGCGGCCGGACGACAGATCACCCCCAAAATCTCCTCAAACAGCCGCGGCACCTGTCTGAGCTTGACATATGTCTGGAAGAGAGTGCCGATGAGTGCCTCCTGGGCTCTTTTGGTTCGGAACTCTGTTACTTCAGCATCGATCCAGGTGGAAGCCAACAAGTCGTCCAGGTCCGGCTCCAAAATCAAATGATTCAGAGACATCAAGATCTTCAGGCAGCGGAACCAGGCGGGCAAGGGGGCCTGTGGGTGGTTTATCAGCAGTTCGGCCAAACGGCGGTAGAAGCGGAACTGAGCCTCACCGTGCCGGATCCTGTCGGCAGCTATGTTGTAGACATTGCTGTCGGCCACGGAGGTCAGCAGCTGTTCCACGACCAGGAGCTCCGCCGTCCAGTCGGAGGTGGAGAGGGCTTGCATCTGCCCCTCCGGCAGGTGCGAGATTCTTAAGCAGCCAAACAGCCTGGGAAGCGCCTGGAAGCAGAGGAGCTGGGCTCCCTCCTTGAAGTAAGAATCCAGAAAGAGCTTATACAGCAAAGCCACGGAACTGGCAACAACGGCGGCATGAAGGGATGGCTCACAGTGGCCGGCGTCTGCCAGCCGGGCGATCACAGTGTCCATGGGCGCTAACAGATTCTTCATGACACCCATCTTCGCGTCACCTTGCTGCTGGTCCAAGAGCTCCTCTTTGTAGGATGACAGCAGCTCAGGCTGAAAAACGCCACCTCTGAGCACAGCCTCGATCTGGCTCCTGACATCCCGGCTCAGCCCCTGCCGCAGCTGACCCTGGCCGGCCTGCGTCCACGTGCCCCCCAAGAGTAAGTGCCTCAGGACCAGGCAGGGCTGGAGCAGGTGTCCGGTCACCTCCCCGAAGGCACGTCTTGGGTTGACCTGCTGCTGCTGGATGGAGAGGTAACGGCCAAGGGCCAGGTGGATGACCTCAAATAACTGGGCTGCCACGGCTCCTTCTGACTGCCGACAGGCCAGCCAGCACAGCTGGCTCAGCAAAGCCACTGTCAGCTCCTGCCTGGCCGTGTAGGTGGCAGCAAGGGCAGGAGTCGAGAGGATGGTCTGGCAACAGCTCAGCACAGCATTAATGTTTCTCGGGGATCCCGGAAGAGAGAACTCGGCTATTCTCTCATTAATGATCTGAGCATTAAGAAAGCAAGCAAGCTCATTACTCACCCAAAACCCACACATACACACACACAAATACCACAGGATCGATAACCTCACTCCTTGCTCTCATCTTGAGGAAAAAGACCTGCCCAGGTCATCACATCTAAATGGAACTGACATCTGCTTGATACACCAGAGGTAGGCAGAGGGCCTGCTTTGATCCCCTCACACGTCCGTCTCCTACTGATATAAACTGGGAAATGGGATCAGTGCCTGTGTGAATTTGCTACCCCTTTTTTACAGAGCTGGCTTTTATGACACTCAAACTCCAAAAACCACTTAGATCATAAACCTGAGACTTAGCTTAGACACTACAGGTGGAGGGACAGTGGCTTTGGGTTATGATCCTGTAGTTCCAAGATACATTTTCATAGTCAATGACACTATTTCTATTTTAAAAACTAAAGCCAAGGGCACCCTTAAAAGAGGAAAGCAAATGTTGCCAGTTATTACGTATTATACAGCAAACCCAGCCTGTTGCGTCCAATATTCTGAAATTCACAACCAGAAATTAAGAGGGCCAGGTAGACTCCAAAATTCACATATACACAAAGTGACTTGTTCCCAGCTTTACAGCATCTGAGAATAAAATTTATCCTGGGTGCTCCATTTCAGCAGCCCAATGACACAGGTATTAGCTCACTTCAAATGGCTGCTGGCTATGGAAAAGCTGAAACAAAAATGTCAAATACTTAAATGCCAATGCTCTGCTACAATGATCTCCAAATATTTCTGATTACATACTCATCTATAAAACTTTTTCCACATCTATACCCAACAAGGGTAATTTATTTATAAACTGTATGCATGTACTATAATACTAATAAAGCATGATAGAAATTAAAATGTGACTTTTTCTTACACATACAGAGATATCATAAGCTTATCTTTCCATACACCTAAAGGACCTTCCAGAATAACCCACTCTGGTGATGACCACTGGCCTATTATTTTAAGCAGCGCGTCCGGGGCCTCGTGCTGCTGCTTCCGCTTCCTGACAACAGGCCCCAGGACTTGGCACAACTTGGTTAAAGACACCAGAAGGAGTTGCTGGCCCAGAGGATTCTCATTTTCCAGCTGTGTGCCTGATGTGGCTTCAGTGTCCATCCTTGAGAGGAAGGTGATGATTTTCCCAAAATTGAGCACCAGGCTGAGCTTCACCTGAATGAGCATCTGCATTAGCTGTTCTAAAAAGGTCCCTACCACTTGCAGGAATTCCAGCCAACAAGGGTCATCCAGGTCAGTAAGAAATCTACTACTGGCTTTGAGCAATGAGGTCAGTACGATCTCGAAAATATCACTAGCATACATGACTTTGAGCACTGCTCGGGCACTTCTTCCTCTTTGCAGATAGCCAAGAAGCCAGTAGCAAGTCGTCAAAAACTTGAGCATCAGTGAAGAGGAGCATGAGCTCCCTAGCTTGGAGATGGCCATGGCCAGTAAGAGAAGAAAATAATGCACATGATGGGGAGTCAAGAGGCTGTCCAGGCGTAGAGCAGAAACAATGTCCAAAAGCCCCAGGATGTTTTCTAACTGTTCTCCCTCCAGCTGGATGGGGAAGTCGCTCTTGACCAAGGACAGTAAGTTTCGGGCAATTTCTCCTCTTAGTTCTTCACCTGCGGGTCCCACTTCTGCAAATCTCTTTTCCCACTGAGTCACAGCCATGCAGCCCTTTTCAAAAAGCCAGGGTAGCTGCTGACGGAGAAGACCCGGGTCACTCTGGATGCCAGAACACAGAACATCAGCACATCGTGCCGCTATGCACGTTAAGAAAGCAGAATGAAGGGCCTGCATTTCTGGAAAGAAAGGGCTGTGAAGGACCGCCTGGGAGGCTTTCTCAAGTGTGATGTTTGGCTCTTCGCCTGCTGAGAATTCCTGGGCTCTACTCATTGGTAAAGTTCTCAGCAGGACACTGGCCAGGTATCGTACATCATCTGCACAAAGATAGGGTAGTAAAATTGTGAGGTTTGACACGATCAGGTGCCAGTGTGCTACAGGGTACGTGAGTGCATTCACTGTCCCCACCTGGCCATCCCAGGAGGCTGTTGCCCTCTGGTCCAGGCGTTTTCTGCCAGAAGCAAGTATGTATGCAGCATCACATCTCAAAGTGTGGAGGGCTTCTTCAGACTGGAAACCAGTTTGCATTAAAGTCCTCTTCATTTTCTGCAGATAGAGCTGTTCTAAGCAATACCTGCCAAGAGAGTCAAACCGAGCTGTTAACTTCTCTATCTTCTTCCAGTGTTGTGCCTTTACACCTGGGAGTGGTAAAGGGAGGCTTGAGGTCTCTAGAGCACCACCTGCAAGGGTCCCAGACACAGGCTGGTACTGGCTACAGTTTAAACTGAGCATGGCGTCCACCTGGGCCCAGGTGTGAGAGAGCAGGAGCACAGAGTCACCGACCTTCTGCAGCCACAGCTCCAGCTCTGGGCCCCGGGGGGGGTCTAGGAGGAGCGCCAGCAGGGGCCTCACCAGCTCTCGGAGCATCCCCTCCATGGTGCACTGAGTCCGTCTGATGACGGGCAGGGGCGTGCTGCTGTCCAGGCTCCTCATGTTGAACAGGATGCAGTGCAGCAGTGAGCTCAGGGACAGAGACTTCAGCGCCATGTCGGTGTCACCCCGCAAATGAGGCAAGACCAGAGTCTGGAATTTGTCCAGCACAAGGGTCCACGTGTCTAAGACCTGACTCGGAGACAACTCCAGGAGGCACTGGCGGAGTGCCGCGGAGGGGCCTGAGGCCAGCACAGGCTGCCTTAGCGACTCGGCGGCCGGACGACAGATCACCCCCAAAATCTCCTCAAACAGCCGCGGCACCTGTCTGAGCTTGACATATGTCTGGAAGAGAGTGCCGATGAGTGCCTCCTGGGCTCTTTTGGTTCGGAACTCTGTTACTTCAGCATCGATCCAGGTGGAAGCCAACAAGTCGTCCAGGTCCGGCTCCAAAATCAAATGATTCAGAGACATCAAGATCTTCAGGCAGCGGAACCAGGCGGGCAAGGGGGCCTGTGGGTGGTTTATCAGCAGTTCGGCCAAACGGCGGTAGAAGCGGAACTGAGCCTCACCGTGCCGGATCCTGTCGGCAGCTATGTTGTAGACATTGCTGTCGGCCACGGAGGTCAGCAGCTGTTCCACGACCAGGAGCTCCGCCGTCCAGTCGGAGGTGGAGAGGGCTTGCATCTGCCCCTCCGGCAGGTGCGAGATTCTTAAGCAGCCAAACAGCCTGGGAAGCGCCTGGAAGCAGAGGAGCTGGGCTCCCTCCTTGAAGTAAGAATCCAGAAAGAGCTTATACAGCAAAGCCACGGAACTGGCAACAACGGCGGCATGAAGGGATGGCTCACAGTGGCCGGCGTCTGCCAGCCGGGCGATCACAGTGTCCATGGGCGCTAACAGATTCTTCATGACACCCATCTTCGCGTCACCTTGCTGCTGGTCCAAGAGCTCCTCTTTGTAGGATGACAGCAGCTCAGGCTGAAAAACGCCACCTCTGAGCACAGCCTCGATCTGGCTCCTGACATCCCGGCTCAGCCCCTGCCGCAGCTGACCCTGGCCGGCCTGCGTCCACGTGCCCCCCAAGAGTAAGTGCCTCAGGACCAGGCAGGGCTGGAGCAGGTGTCCGGTCACCTCCCCGAAGGCACGTCTTGGGTTGACCTGCTGCTGCTGGATGGAGAGGTAATGGCCAAGGGCCAGGTGGATGACCTCAAATAACTGGGCTGCCACGGCTCCTTCTGACTGCCGACAGGCTAGCCAGCATAGCTGGCTCAGCAAAGCCACTGTCAGCTCCTGCCTGGCCGTGTAGGTGGCAGCAAGGGCAGGAGTCGAGAGGATGGTCTGGCAACAGCTCAGCACAGCATTAATGTTTCTCGGGGATCCCGGAAGAGAGAACTCGGCTATTCTCTCATTAATGATCTGAGCATTAAGAAAGCAAGCAAGCTCATTACTCACCCAAAACCCACACATACACACACACAAATACCACAGGATCGATAACCTCACTCCTTGCTCTCATCTTGAGGAAAAAGACCTGCCCAGGTCATCACATCTAAATGGAACTGACATCTGCTTGATACACCAGAGGTAGGCAGAGGGCCTGCTTTGATCCCCTCACACGTCCGTCTCCTACTGATATAAACTGGGAAATGGGATCAGTGCCTGTGTGAATTTGCTACCCCTTTTTTACAGAGCTGGCTTTTATGACACTCAAACTCCAAAAACCACTTAGATCATAAACCTGAGACTTAGCTTAGACACTACAGGTGGAGGGACAGTGGCTTTGGGTTATGATCCTGTAGTTCCAAGATACATTTTCATAGTCAATGACACTATTTCTATTTTAAAAACTAAAGCCAAGGGCACCCTTAAAAGAGGAAAGCAAATGTTGCCAGTTATTACGTATTATACAGCAAACCCAGCCTGTTGCGTCCAATATTCTGAAATTCACAACCAGAAATTAAGAGGGCCAGGTAGACTCCAAAATTCACATATACACAAAGTGACTTGTTCCCAGCTTTACAGCATCTGAGAATAAAATTTATCCTGGGTGCTCCATTTCAGCAGCCCAATGACACAGGTATTAGCTCACTTCAAATGGCTGCTGGCTATGGAAAAGCTGAAACAAAAATGTCAAATACTTAAATGCCAATGCTCTGCTACAATGATCTCCAAATATTTCTGATTACATACTCATCTATAAAACTTTTTCCACATCTATACCCAACAAGGGTAATTTATTTATAAACTGTATGCATGTACTATAATACTAATAAAGCATGATAGAAATTAAAATGTGACTTTTTCTTACACATACAGAGATATCATAAGCTTATCTTTCCATACACCTAAAGGACCTTCCAGAATAACCCACTCTGGTGATGACCACTGGCCTATTATTTTAAAAAGTGACATATAATTTAGAACATAGTTTCAAGAAACACTAAAACCTATTAACCATTAGGCAGTCCAAGGATTTAATTTTTCTCTTACCAGCCTTTACTTTCTCTTTCTGCCGACATGCTCATGCATGTAAGGCAGTGTAGTGTGGTGGTGAACAGCACAGGCTTTATAAGCAGGCAGATCTAAGTTCAAATCGAAGCTGTACCACCTACTACCTGTGTGACCTACTGCAAGCTCCTTAACCTCTCTGAGCCTGGCACACACTAAGTGCTCATTATTGGTGCTTTTTATTGTCAACCACTATTTTCACAGTACTTCAAAATACTCAAGTTTTGACAATTGAAGGTCATAATTCTGATCTGAGGCTTCAAAATTACTTTGAGTCAAAATCTTTGTGGAAATTCCTATCCAGATTTTGGCCTTTGATATCCCTCCAGGCGAACAGAAAGGGGTGGGGGGAACGAAATCACAAACTAGCAAAATTTACTGGCTACCTTTTCCAATTAAAAAGCTAGCCAAAACCATGTTGTTGTTCAAGTAATTGGACATTAATGATATCAAAATTAAAAAAATTAAAAAATAAAATGTGGTTCTGTTCACTAACCAAGGGTATCTAAAAGGATGCTCTAAATGAATATGAGCATTCTAAATTGTAATTTTTAGAAAATAATTATTGCTTAAACTCAGTAATACTTGTTAGTATGTACTATGCAATTGCCTGATTATACAATAAACCCTGATAAATATTTACATATCTATTAAACCTTATTTTACTTAAAAAAAAAAAAAAAAGCTAGCCAAGAAGGGCCTAGTGGTTATCAAAGGGAAGGGGTTGAGGATGGTGGATGGGGAGGGTGGGAGAAGGGGATTACGGGGCATTATAATTAGCACTCACAATATAAGTAGGTCACAGGGAAGGCAGTGCAGCCCAGAGAACACAAGTACTGACTCTTTAGTATCTTACTACACTGATAGACAGTGACTGAAATGGGGTGTGGGGGGCACGTGATAATATGGGTGAATGTTGAAACCACAATGTTGCTCATGTGAAACCTTCATAAGATTGCATATCAGTGATACCTTAATGATAAAAGAAAAAAGCTAACCAATGATTTTATGAAATAGTCCCAAGCACTTTTCTTGAATATTAAATGACAAAGTGCTTAGCACTGTGTAGAGCATACAATATGCACTCAGTAAGTACAGTCATTATTACAATGCTAGTAACATTATTTCCTTCTCCTCCTTACCTTTATAGTTTTGGAATCTTCATAAAATTAACCCTAAAACAAGCCTTCAGATATAACAGAAAATCAACAGAGATGTGTGCAACACATAGGGGACAACACAGAAAACTGTTAATTACCTTAACAAGGGAAATCTGCAGATTAATTGTCTTCCCATTCTTGAGGAGATTCTGTAATTTTTTGCTACGTAGAATGTTATCTATATAGATCCAAAGCCTTTCAACAATGTCTTCCTGCAGTTCAAGTTTTTTCTTATAAAATGCAACCAATGACTGTCTTGCCCAATCAAGTAATACCTGAAGATTGAAGAAATATACTCTGAAAATAGATGAATTTCCTTACCCAGAAAGAAAAACCCTGGACATTTATAGGGAGAGTCCATGCATAACTTAATTCAATTGCCAGGGGGAAAAACTCCCCTTTAAAACTTACCTTTGGTAATTTTACATTACATCAATGTTTTGGCATCTTAGAATGTTTATCACTAAAGAATAAAAAGAGAAAAAAAAATCTTTTCTTCATCTGGGGCCAAAAGAAAAGTTTCAAATGAAACTCTTTAACAGTCCCTTCTAACTTCTTTGACATTACACTAAATTTCAAAAGTTAGAGGCACAGTGATGGCTCAAAATGGCCACAAGATGAATCGCACAAAAGAAAAATGCAGAATCAAAAGACAGGCGCCTGTGTCCTGGATTCCCATGCCACTCATCGCTTGACCCCTAAATTGTATTTATCTCATCCAGAAGACAGAGACTGTCTTTTGGGACATAATACACAAGTGCTTTATAAAAAGGAGAGGCGGACATACAGTGTCCATTACTGTGATGTGTCCTCACTCATGAACAAGGAGATGGTGTGGCCTCGACTCACAATATCAGAACTGCGGTCCACAAGAGTGACGATTCCCAAAGGCAAAGCCTCCTCGGAGTAAGAAGAGTGGACACCGAGACCGGACTTCCCGCCCCGACTGGCCCCTTCACCTCTCCTCTGACAGCACTTGCCAGGTGACTGTCAGGCAGCCAGGAGGACTCTCAGGTGCAGCCATGTCGAGAAACTACTCAATGTAGTGGCGTACTTCATCACCGACACACTTACTTCAGCCTCCTAGTGGATGTTACCCACCTGTGACACATTTTGGGCTGTCTTCTTTAACACTAGCATATGGGTGCATGTTAATCCAATTTCATGAGCTCCCATACTAGTGTCTCTATTATATAAACAGTATTTTTTAGCCAAACAAGCCTGAGAAATGTGAAAAAAAAGCCATGCCTTTCCTGGCCCCTCATTTATTTCTAGAATGGTTTATACTAAATACTAAAGCTTCTCTACTTCCCAACCTTTAATTCAATAAATTCCAAAGACTGCACTGACAAGCAATTGCTTGGGGAACCTCATTTTGGATTTACAAACAAATTAAACTACCAACAGATGCAGAACCTTACTTCTGGAACCTACTTATCAATCTGTTAAATGACGCATATACTTATTTCATAATATAAGTGAGGTTTCCAAACATAAAAGAATTGCTGAGGTTTTTATAACAGAAAAACGTTAACAAAATACTCCTATTTTTTTCACTAACATTACTTTTAACTTCCAACCATGTTTCCTTCCTGAACATTTTCTCTGATCTTTTAAATTTTAAGTAAGTGTCAGTACACGATCTACACAAGTGGTAATTACTTTAAGTTGTAAAAATGGAATTTTCACATTAAACTTACTTGTTCTTTGTTTGGAAGAACACACTGGTGGGAAATCCAAGCAAAGTGAGCTAGTTTCAGCTTATTTTCCCAGGAAGTTGTGTTGCTTTTAAGCTTCAGGGAAATGCCAGAATAAATAGCAGCCATTGCTATACTTTATCTATCATTTAAAAACAATAGAAAAAATATTAAGGTCAGATTCAACAGGCACCAGAAAATGAACATTATGTTATCTTACTGTGTACATAATATATATTCCTTTTAAAAAGCTGAATTAATAAAAACACATCAGTATAATTGTGGTCATACATCTATCTATATGTGAGAAGCTTGACGCCATGAATTTTCTGGGAGAAATCCAGACAAAAGCAGGCAGGAGATGGATCTCACACACACGCACGAGTATTTCTGCTGTGATCAGTGTTCAAATTATTTATGAAAGGAGATTCATTCACACCTGGTTTCAGATTGAAAAACATTTTGCACAAATTCTCTGAAATACACTATGTATTATGTATTGGACCAACTCCATTAAACAGTTCGGAGATAAATAAGCAACATTTGGAAAAAGTAATATTTCTCCAAGTAAAAAAGAAATATAGTATAAATCCAGTCCCAACAGAAATACTGTTCAGCTACAACAGTAACTTCCCAAGATTACTTTATTCACTTAATGAAAAAGTTTAAACACACACTGCTTCCAGAGACTACAGGAAATACAGCTGCACAATAAAGACTATAAAAATATAATACAATAAAATCATGACTAAAGAAGGAAGGAACACACACCAACTACCTATATAAATTGAGGTAAAGGTAGTCTGAGTTTCCTAAGTCATAGTAAAAAGGGGAAACATACCAGATTAAGTCTTTTTCATTATATAAAAGTAAACAAGTCAGTTCCTCAAAAGATAAAGTTTCATGATAGTTTATACAGAAATACCATTATCATATATAAAAAATTGGACAAGGGAAATATCAAAAAAAAGATTGCAGTCCCATAACTGTCCTATAAATACTGTCAAAAAATTTTTTTGCTGTACTGAGGACTGGACGACTTGCATTTTTTAACTGTATGGGGCCTGAAATCCTAGAAACCTACCTTCTGAACTTACTCTCAATAGGTAAGAAGGTGCGAACGTCGGATGAGGGGCGCTTACATTCAGCAGGTTATCCTTCAACCTAGTACAGAGAACAAGAACACCCCAGGGCTGTCAGCTGTCCTATGTTGTCAGAACGCCCAAAACCCATCAACAAGGACATATTTAACTTCTAAGTTCGATGTCAGACGTCATCGTCACAGCTACAAAGTACTTAAGTATTTGCAGAATTGGCTACAAAGACGCCCAGACACCTGCTGGAATCTCCCACCGCTCGGCTCTCTGGCGAGCGTCTTCCCACTGGGTGTGCAAAGCCCCATGCGGACAGCCAAGCCCGGTTGGAACTTCCGCAAAGACCGCTTACGCTGGAATTCCGCGGAGTAGAAAGAGGCCAAGTAAAAAAGAATCAGGAGAGAGCAGCCAGCGATGTGTGAGGTCCAAGGAGTGAGCCCACTGGGCTCCCGCCCAGCCCTTACTGACCACAGGAGGAGCTGGGTCCAGGAAGGGAGTGTGGCCCCAGGTAAGGGGCCCCCCCGGGGGCCTAACGGCGATAGGGGCCGCGGGGCGGGGGGCGGAAGGCCGGCCCAAGTAAGGAGTTCACTTGAAGCCCCGCCCGGCGTAGGGGCCTACCTGCAGCCATCCCCGTAAGGAGCTCAGTCGGGACCGGCCCTGGGTGGGGGCTCACCTGCAGGGCATCCTCTGGGTAAGGAGCGCATACAAGGCCGGCCCCAGGTAAGGGGCTCACTCGGGATCGGCCCTGGGTCGGGGCTCGCCCGCAGGCCGGCCCCAGGTAAGGGGCTCACTCGGGATCGGCCCTGGGTCGGGGCTCGCCCGCAGGCCGGCCCCAGGTAAGGGGCTCACTCGGGATCGGCCCTGGGTCGGGGCTCGCCTGCAGGCCGGCCCCAGGTAAGGGGCTCACTCGGGATCGGCCC